CAGATACAAGTTCAGGAAACTTGTATCTGTATCCGATACAGGATAAGGAACTACCACCAGCCATGAATAAACATAAATGATGACCTATTATTAGTGTCATTAACATATTGAAGAATTGTCCATATCAGTCAAGTTCAAAGCATTGGCCTGATTAATGAATCTATTGTTTATAATATCATAGCAATAATATTTCTAGCCTTGAGAGATGTTGTTGTGCACAGAGATTACAATCTACTAATTCCATTGGCGGCTTGAAATGCTTTACATCACAGATGCTGTTCAAACCTAAAATCTAAGTAGGATGATGATCCCAATCTTCTGCTTAAGTAGATAGGTAAATATATAGGGGGAGAGATAGAAAGAATTAAAATAGTCACGTAATCATAACACATTACTTTGAAACTAAGCCATTAATTAGGAATGAAATTAAGAACTAAGACCAGGTCAGAATTTGACCATCAAACATGAAAAGCCTGTGATTATTTCATTTGTATTGTTAATGTACATCGGGAAGACATCAAAAGCTGTCTTTTTTTGGATCTATATTTCACGCAGATAAATTTGGAGTTTTCATAGTTTTGCTCCTGAAATTCACTGGCAGGCTTTAAAGAGTATTGTGAAGATTTTGGTACGTATTTCTAATCCTATAAGAAAAAAAATAGTTAAATCTTCATGAAAGAGAAAATGAGTCCCCTTGAGTGTCACTGTGTTTGCACATTAGCACACTGCAAGGTCTTTGCCAAGTTGCTCTCTGACTGACTGCTGCAGATGCTCTATCTCAAGTATTCAGAGTCAGATCTTTAGTGCAAGTCTTCAGGGACAAACAATAGCACCTGTTCCTCACAAGATATCAGGCCAGTTAGTCCATTCATGTATCTTTAATGAAGCTCCAGGGCAGATGGCAAAAATAAAAAGGCATCAGCATCAAGTTAGCAGAGGAGACAAAGAGAAAAAGGTGTTGGTGCAAGAATGCATGGCTTTTGTGAAGGAAAGAGACTCTTCGGCCTCTGTGGGTACATTGATTTTCAAAAACATTCAATGAACAGGGAAGCAATTAATCTTCCTAGTAATGTGTATGATTTCATGGATTGGGCTTTACTACCTCTGCAAAGCTTGCTTGAAGCCTATCCAGAAAGACTGCCATATTCCTGGTTTGAATCTCCATCTCTGCATGTTATTTACAGTC